CTTTGAAACATCAGTGTTACAATATTTGTTATTGCTTTGGCATACTCCTTTTTGATCCGTTTCCCTATAGCTTCAATATAGACACAAATCTGTCAGGAATAACGTTTTCTGTACTATTCCTTTGCATTGCATTTTTTGCTCTGTCTTGAAGTATTCAAAATGCATTGCATCTGAAATCAATAACAACTTTTAAATGGGTACCAAATCCTGGGGAAAAGCTTGAAATTATCTGTGGACTCCTCTCTTTCTGAAAAATAAAGGTTTGTTTTTTTCTTAAATAAAAATAAAGACTTTGCAGTCTTTCCCTTTTCAGTTTCGTTAGGGATTAAGATAATGACCATTAGCATCATAAACCAATAGCAAATTTTACATGTGTACCAAATCCTAGGAAAAAGCTTGACATTATCTGTGGACTTTTCCCATGAAAAATAAAGGTGAGTCTTTGCAGCCTTTTCCTTTGCAATTGCATTAGGGATTACGATAATGAGCACTAGCACTGTAGACTGTAAAATTGCATTAGTTTTGACTAGAGATACAGCATGGAAAAACAAATTAATCAGCAAAGGGAATAATTGCTGAAGCCATGCATTGGAAATTCCCACTACTCAAAGATGATTTTCTTTTTCTTAATTAATTATAATAAACTAACAAGTCTCTTATTTTTATTTAAATACATAATAAAAAAATAATTAGTTTGTGGATTTGTGTTATCCTCAGATGAGTCCAAGGACAGGATTTGGACTGCAGCTGACAGGTCTCTCTTAGCCTACCACTGCTACTGCTGCTTACAAGTATAAGTTATCTGCATGGGAGCTATTCAGGCTGTACTTCAAACAGCATAGCTGAATTGGCAGGCATGCTGATGGAGGTCTTATCGTTGCTTTCTTCACTCACTTTATGCTGAGATGAGGCCAGGGGCTTCACTGCTCTCTTATGATAAGTGTGGTTCTTTCCGGAGACTCAGGGGGTGATAGTCTTATCTTTATTTTCTTTGTGGAGTGACATAATTAATAGAGTGTACTCTTAAATAACTTCTAAAATGCAATAAGAGGTTTAGCTTTTCTTTCTGAGGTTTCTATCTGTTCTAAACAAAATTCTGTTCACAGGGCTTCCAGGGCAGTTGCTTGACCTGAGTTCAGCTGTGTGAGAAGCTGTTCGATCTCTGCCCTCCCCTCTGCTGAATGCCTTTGCCACTCAACAGCTTCTCAATAGGCAATCCCCTGTGGTACTCAGTCATGGAGAAGTACCAAGAGTAAATAAGCAGACAAGCATCAGAAAGGAATGAAATAAATGTGCTTTGTCTCTGGAAAGTATTTAGCTGAGCAGTATTCTGAAAATAAGTTTTAGCATTGCTTAAAAGTCAGTATTTCCAAAAGGATTATTACTTCTTTATTATTCAGGCATTTTAACATATTTTACAGAAAATAACTCAAATGTTGTCACAAAATCATAGAATGGTTTGGGTCCTTAAAGATCATCTAGTTCCAACTCCCCTCCCATGCACAGGGACACCTTCCACTAGACCAGGTTGCTGAAAGCCCCATCCAACTTGGACTTGAACACTTCCAGGGATGGGGCATCCAAAACTTCTCTGGACAGCCCGTTCCAGAGCTCACCACTCTCCCAGTGAAGAATTTCTTCTTAATAGCCATTTTAAATCTACCCTCTTTCAGCTTAAAGCCATTGCCTTTGTCCTACCACTACATGTAAAAAGTCCTTCTCCAGATTTCTTGTTGGCCAATTTTAGGTACTGGAAGGCTGCTATAAGGTCTTCCTGGAGCCTCCTTTTCTCCACACTGAACAAACCCAATTCTCTCAGCCTGTCTTCATACGAGAGGTGCTTCAGTCCCCTGATCATCTTTGCACCCTTCCTCTGGACTTTCTTTGACAGGTCCATGTCCTTCTTATCCAGGTGGGGTCTCACAAAAGCACAGTAGAGGGGCAGGATCACCTCCTTCGACCTGCTGGTCACACTCCTTTTGTTGCAGCCCAGGATACGTTTGGTTTTCTGGGCTGTAAGTGCACACTGATGGGTCATGTTAAGCTTCCCATCAACCAACACCCCGAAGTCCTTCTCCACAGGGCTGCTTTGAATCTCTTCTCTGCCCACCCTGTAGCTGTGCCTGGGATTGCTGTGACCCAGGTGTAGGACCTTGCACTTGGCCTTGTTAAACTTCATGAGGTTTGTACTGTCCCACTACTCAAGCATGTCAAGGTCCCTCTGGATAGCATCCCTTCCCTTCAGTATGTTGACTGCCCCACATAGCTTGGTGTTGTCGGCAAACTTGCTGATGGTGCAGTCAATCCCACCGTACAGGTCGCCAACAAAGATGTTGAACAGTGCCAGTCCCAATACCAACCCCTGAGGAATGCCACTTGTTGCTGGTGTCCAACTGGACATCAATCTGTTGGCTGCAACTCTTCGAGTGTAACCATCCAGCCAATTCCTTACCCAACAAGTGGTCCATGCATCAAATCCATGTCTCTCCAATTTAGAGACAAGAACGTCACAAGGGATAGTGTCAAATACTTTGTACAAGTCCAGGTAGATACATGTCAAAAGGAAAGCAATAGTTTTCTGCCAAACTCACATAACTATCTCGTAAACTGTCTCAGGTTCACACACTAGTAATAATATAACTGTAGTAGACTTTTTCTTACGGAAGAAAATCTCTAGTTATCAGCCATAGTAGGTGAGTTGCTTTACAGGAGCAGGGAAGTGAAGAGGAGGCTTAGCATTGCATTTTCTGCTATTGTTACTGTCTTCTTGGTAGAAATAGGATTAAAAAGATCTTAACACAAATAACATCATCAGATTTGTCTTGAACTACAGTAAATGCATGCTGTGTCAGGCTAATGGTTCTGCCCTTAAGACATCAGAGCTGAGGAATCAAATGCAGATGCAGAAATGCTTATGATACAAGGGAGTTTTCATCCTTCTGTTCCTTTCCAATCTATAACTGATGGAGAATAAGAGCAATTTTATTAGCCCCGCCCCTCCCACATCACACTGTAATGTTTCCTCCAATAAAGAAATCTCTTAAAGGTGCTGAGGTTGTTTTGCACTTTCAGGGTGCTGGACTGTTGAGGAGTAGAGAGGTGATCTTTTTTGTACTGCTTAGGCACTCTTCTAAACAAATACATGTTGAGCATGGGCAGAGACTAAAGGCAGCCAGAAAACAGGAAGAATATTAGTGGTGTAAATAGTGGTTTTCATTTTTATTGTGGCATTTTAACAGAAGACAGGAGTAAGACATTTAGAAAGCAGCATAAGTCAGGAAAGAGAAGGAAAAGGTAGAGAAAAAGGGAACACGCATGATGGAATTCAGTCTGTCATTAACTTTCACCAACCTCCATCATCACCCTGGCTGAGGCTCCTGATGTTTACAGTAAGCCAGGAATCACACTGAGGAATGAGGAGCAGCATGACAGTTTCAGTACAGCATGGGGATATGAAGATCTGTAGGCTGATGACCTCTTGCTTATAAAGGTAGGTACTACTGCTTTTCTCCCTGCATTGTGTGTGTTTGTTATGAGTGCAAAAGTGTTCTACAGAGTTTTAGCATGGAACGAAAAAGCAAAGAGAAATTGTATTACAAATTTTGTCTTAGTCATCAACTGCTTTTGCACACAATTGGCAACTGCAGAATATGAACTATTCTACAGTCATGGTCTTTAGCTCAGAAAAACTTGATACTTGATTTATTTGAAAATCTCTTTTTCATAATCATGTTTGCTTATTTTTGAGTTGTCTTTAGGTCAGTGTGAGTCCTGTCAGTCACTGGGAAGTTAAGAGTAATGAGGAAAGCTAAGAAATTTAGAGGAGGTTTTGGAGATCTCACTATGAGAATGGGAGACCCTAAAAAGAGACAGTAAAGTGTGACCTTTGCCTCCTTCAGACATCTTGCCTTTCCTTGAAAAGTTCTTCAACTCTTTATTTGCATGAGTAAAGCACCTATGAGTATTGTCCTTTGGGAGGAGCAGCTCATTTTATCCTCTTTTCAGGCACAGCTGGGAAGCGTTGACTTCTCTTTTCCTTCCATACTTACCAACTTTCTCATAATCTAATAGGAAATTTTCATTGAAGATTTGAAAATTGGTGAAGAGAGGTATTCTTTTTCTTCCTGTTGAAGGCGTGAGATAACAAGAATGTACTTCGTGCTGTAGGCTTTTTGAAATGGATTTTTGGAGTGACATTGCCATGAAAATTAAGACTTGTACATTTGTAACACTGGTCAGATAACTTTAAATCAAGTCTATGTAACATATATGTATGTAAATATTACCTAGTAAAAAATGTTTAGAGATACTTTTCCTAGAAGACGTGAAATCAGTAAGGATTTGGACTTGTCCAGACTGTGGTATTACAATGATTATAGTAAAACTGTTTGTACTCAAAAGTTAATTTGCACTTTTAATCATGAGTTATCTCCCGTTACATATGCAACTACCAGTGTACATATGATGCACTCTTATTTTAAAACAATTGATTATTTAATTTGCAGCAGCTGTGGAAATGAAGTTGCGATGGTTTGTTGATGATCATTGCTGAGAGAGAGGATATTCTATTTACTCAGATAAAACTAGAAGTTTTAAAGCTAAGTGTTAGCTGAATATTACTTTGTCATTTTCATATTGAACTCATATAGTTGAGTCTGAACCTGAACTTTAGCCTGTTCAATGTTTAATGCCTTGAAGACACTTTATTCCCAAAGACTGTTTTTTGGCATTTGAGTATACATTTTAGTCACTCAGGTGACTGTTAAAAAATTCGAGCTTTCTACTTTTGATTACCCACAGTGCTTGATATAAGAAAACAAACAAAATGCTGTTGATCATTGATATGCTATATAAATTGATGCTGTTACATATTAAACATAGTAGCTATGTTTCATTCAGGAGAGGTGATAAGTAAACATCTGCTATAACCTTTGGTTACTGAAATGCTAGACTGCCTGTTTGTTTGCATGACTATTGATTTCACAGTTACACAAAGCTTCTGGAGACACACAATTTTCTGCATATCTTTTTCTCAGAACTCCCAGCAGCAGTAGCTGGAAGAGAACAATTCAGTCATGCAAAATAATATTTAACTCATTAAAGCGATACAGGAGAAGGAAGATTCTGGCAAATATCTGGTATGTGACTCTTGTTTTATCTCTAGGTTTAACAGAGTGTTCTCTTCATTGGAAGGGGTGATAAGGACTCACCAGTTAGTTAGCCTGGATGAATATTTCCCTGCTTGCCACTAATACTAGTTCCAGTACACAGACAGGTGAGGTTTGTGGAGAGGCTTTGGCGGGCTTTTGGTAAACTGGATCTTAATGGACAAGATGATCTGTGCATCTATTACTCCATTTTAATAGAAATATTTATTCTTACTGGAGATACTCTTTGTAAAACATTGATCAAAATTATATGTACCTGGATGTTTTCTGTTTCATGATTTTGTGTGCATGCAGTCTATAAGTGCTACCTAAGTTTGTGGAAAAACTGTCTTATTTTGTCTAAATATACTTTCAATCATACTGACACCCTTAGTGTTTAAATCTTAAAAAAAAAACCAAAACTGAACAAACAAAAAAAAACCAACAAAACACAAAACCAACTCTAAACCAAATTCTACAGATGTTTTTAAAAGTATTTCTACCTACAATACTTTTTTTATAGTTAAATCCTTCTTAGATGTCAAAACCTTCACACACAGATGTAATTACTTCTGTCTCTGCAAAGGCCTCACACACTTGAATTTCTTTTTTTGGATGCTTTCCAGTGTTGTCTGAAGAGAAATATGATTTTTCTATGGTTTTGTTAGAATTATTAAAGGCTATTGTGAAACTGTAATAAATAAAAAAATAAATGTCAGTCTGGCTGTTGTTCACATTTGCCATATTCAGGATGACATATAGTCCCAGCTCATGCTGTTTTTTAATGAGAGCTGAAGGTAGCTTCTACCTTGAAGGAAATTCTACTCCAGAGCAAAACTAAAACACTGTTGTATATCTATGCTCAAAGCTCTATACTCATTTTCAATTCTGATAAGGAAGCATGCCCAACTAAGTAGAATAAGACAGATAATTGTGCTGGGGAAATTTTAAACTGGATATTTAGGAAGGGACTTAGGGCATTGGATGCCTAAGCTCCCGTACCAGAGCTACCATGGCTCTCAGGATATTGCACACACCACCACACGTGAAGCAGAGAGCACCTTATCTGTTTGACATAACTTTAGTTTCCCTATGGAATATGCAAATGAAGGATCTATTTCCAAGGACATGCCAGCTATTTTCTCTTAAAATACTCCAGAGCAGAGGACTGATATGCAACAACAATGGAAAAAGAACTAGTAGTTATGTGGCTTGCTTCTGGAGTTTTTAAGGCTGGGTGACTTCAATTTTGGTTGAATTTGGGTTGAATTCAATTAGCAGTAAGTGCAGTTCTTAGATTTTGATCAGGATCGTAGGATACTGTTCACTGCAATGGCCTTAGCAGTCTTCACTACTATGGCTTTAAGTGTTGGAGTTGGTTTTGGGGTAGGTTTTTATTTTGTAATTTTTTTAAAAAATAGGAACATTTTTGTTTCTTATACTCCTGTTACTGGATAATTTATTTTGCATCTAAAATCCTGTTTTTACAAAGCTTTCATGAGAATACTGTTCAGCCTGGACAAGAGAAGGCTGTGTGGAGACCTCATAGCAGCCTCCCAGTATCTGAAGAGGGCCTACAAGGATGCTGGGGAGGGACTCTTCATTAGGGACTATAGAGATAGGACAAGGGGTAATGGGTTAAAACTTAAACAGGGGAAGTTCAGGATAGATATAAGGAGGAAATTATTTCCTGTTAGGATGGTGAGGCACTGGAATGGGTTGCCCAGGGTGATTGTGAATGCTCCATCCCTGGTGGTGTTCAAGGCCAGGTTGGATGAAGCCTTGGGTGATATGGTTTAGTGTGAGGTGTCCCTGCCCACAGCAGGGGGGTTGGAACTAGATGATCTTAAGGTCCTTTCCAACCCTAACTATTCTATGATTCTATGGTGTGTTTAAGTATTAAACGTTTAATGAAATCCTCCCAAAATACTGTGAATACTGAGATGGCACATGTATTATTTTTTCAGTTGTCAATAGAACATGTCTATTATCCAAGGTAAGAGTACTAAAGAAAGTATCCATTTTGCTTGACATTTTTCATGTTGGTGAAGCACAAAAATAGTCCTAAGCAAAAAAAAAGAAAGAAAACCTTTTTGATGCTATTTACTTTAAAAATCTTACCCACTCCCCCAAGAGAAAAAAAAACAAACCCCAAACCATTCTTCCCCCCCCCGAACTCTAAAATCTATACCTGTAATCTTTGCTTTCTATCATTACAAAAATAGATACAGGGCGTAAAGGGAGCAGAAATAGAAATGAAAGATATCTTTTTCATTTGGAGAAGGTACACGTAAAAGATGCATGTAAATTTTTAAACATTGGAAGTATCAATTCTACACTTAATTAAATAATTAATATTTTGTATAGAGACTTTCATGAAAAAATTAAAATCAAAACTTTTCATATGCCAGTATATGAAACATTTATGATTCTGAGTAACCCTAGTGCTACAGAGAAATATTAATTCTAGAAGTCAAAATACAATGTGTAATCTGTTGCATCATACCCACATTTCTCCTGTAGCACAGTCCAGTACAAAATTAGTAAACTGTGTCTGTTATGAAGTTTTACTTCCTATTTTTGTTGATGTATTTCATTTTAATTACGTGAAGCTGTACATTGCAGCTCACATGGTGTTTGAAATTGAATAAGATGTTCTGGTTTTGCCAACACATGAGCATGCTGTTTTTCAAGAGATCTGTTTTGTTGGTGACTAACAACATGCTATTTCTTTAATAATGAAAACAAATTTCACATTTAGATCTAGTTTTATTTTAGGCAGAATGTGGTAGTGAGGATAGCTGTCAGTCCACCAACAGTCATCTTCAAATAAAAGTTCTTCAAATCGTCCATATTTGGTAAGTGTACCTCCATATGCCTTAACTCTGGGTCAGAAATATTCAAGAATTTCAAAAGACTCCACCTGCAATGCCATTCAAAATCACAGTTCCCAGACACCTGTGGTCAAAGCAATTACTTACCACCAGTAACTGCAGTGACATACTTGTTTCTAATGTGCAGAATCAATACCAACAGGGCTATTTAATCTAGCGATTCTACCATCTTCATGCAGGAGTCTGCATTTTCAAAAGTCAACTTAGTACAGTGAGTCACTGTGAAGCAAGTGCAGTCAGTAATTCTGTTATTCATGTTTGATGAAAAATTCCTTCTTATTAATTCTGTAGGTTGCCTATACCATTGTCTTAATCGCCATGTTACGGTCTCTCTTTTTTTGCTGCATCAATTAGCCAAGTTTAATTACATTCTGTGTAAAAGCTGTTTGTGTCACCTTCAATAAGCATTGCAGCACCTTCCTGTGCCAAACCACCATTTGCTGCATGTTAGGATAGGAGTCCTGTAGTTGAGGCATAGTTGAGTGATTTCTCTCTTTAGATGCAATACTTCTGAATGTATTTCTAAAGCTATATCTACATACTGAAATCTAGTTAAGTACATTTCAGTTTTTGTGTGTCCTTTGTTTTGGTATTGTCCCTCCTCACCCCCTCCTCAAACCCTCCTTTATTCTTGACAGCAAGGTAACTAAAGAAAAGCTGTTTTGTGGGCAGACCACTCTCCAACAAAGTATAATCCAGGTTGCTGCAAAACCTTAGCAACGTTTGTTGAGGAGTTTGTAGGAATTTGACATATTCATCTAGGGAAAAGCAGGAGTAGCCCTTTATTTAGACCTTCACACATTCTTCCATCACTTGTACTTCCCTTTGCTGCATACTGGGGCCCTGTAGGGGAACAATACGATAGCATGGGGAAATCAATGCTGGTTTGAATAGCTTTCGTAGTGGCTATTACAGAATTTATTTCTGTATAAAACTGGCATATATACCTCAGGTGCTATTTCCCAGATTTTCTAACCTTTCTGGAAAAGAAAAATAAGCCTGTGAGCAAGCTAACAGAATACATAGAAGGGTAAACTTTGAATAATTGTTTCTTAGATTTTTCCTGTTTTGCTTTATATTTTGAAGTCACTTTCCAGACTGTCCAGTGGATAATCAATGTTTCATAAGCTAAAAATTACGTTGTGTTTGTATAACTTTTATAGTAACAATGAAAAATGTAAATAAATTTGTGATAATGTTTTAACTGTACATTTGTGGAATAATAGGCATGAACCTGGTAGCTGTTTGGGGAATTAAATAATTACTGAAGTAATTAGTCAAAGCTATAAATATCTGTGTGATACCTGTTTTGATTTGAATCCATGTGATGTCTCTTTTGAAAAAACCTAAATTCATGTGACTAAGTGACAAAGACCCAAGATATCCAGAATTAACTGGGTTTTAAAATGATATGAAAAAACAACAGCTCAATAAAAATGGTCAGATTGCTAAACCAGAAGTAAATTCATAGGAATCTTAAAGGGTTTTGATCTAAAATGGTTAAATAAATCCGGTCATATCATGCTGAGCTATATTCTATGTTTCTTCACAGTTCTTGACTTTGCCAGTGTATAGGGAAAATTTATCAGTTGCCTGAAAGGATGAATGTTCCCTTTTCCTAGTACCATTATGTAAGGTAGAAGGTGTCCCTGCTCATGACAGGGGATTGGAACCAGATGATCTTTAAGGTTCCTTTCAACCCAAACCATTCTATGATTCTATGAAGGCTGAAAGACTGGAAAGTAGATAGCCTAGGGTGAGTGTCACCTGTAACATCTGCAGTGCTGTCAAGGACAGTAAAACAGCTCTGTACTAAAATGTTTGTCTTTGTGCTTGAGTATGGCCAGGAAAGAGTACAAATATCATCAGACAAGAATTAGGTAGAAAACAAATTTGCTGCATGCAGTTGGATGTCATTACATTTCTTTGAAATCCTTTGAGGCTGTGTTAAAACAATTAGTATTAGACATGTTAATTCAAATATCTTTGTTTTCCACTGCCTCTATGGCTGGGGGAGATAGGGAGGGAAGTGCTGAAGGAAATAGGTCAGGCTGTTTTTTCACTGATGGCTAGACTGAAATACTTCTGTAAAATAAT